AACAAAGGAAAGAGGCCCTGGGCCCGAATCATACATTCCTTTCTTCCCCACCAAGAGAAGAGACAAGGCTCTTAATTCAGGGAAGATTCTCCTTGATGACAGATTTAAAGGGATAAGTCTCAGAAAGATACTAATGCTAACTAAGCTCCTGCTAGGACTTAGTGATTTCTCTACTACAAACAGACGAATACCATGGAACCGTTAAGATAGATGTCATTTAGAACAACACCTGGTACCTGGTAAGCACCATGTGAATATTAAATTGTAACAATTGTGATTATTACTATTAACACTATTTGTCAGTTATCATTAGGCTATCCCTATGCTAGTCTCTTCATTCCTCACATCCGTTCTAATTGCATGTCAGCATCTTCATTCTAAAAATCAAAATAACTAAGACGCAGAGTGGGTAAATAACTTGCTCAAACTCAGTAAGAGTTAAGAAAAGCCTGAATTTAACTCAAGGGTGCCAGGATCTTTCCACTATTGCCGACACCTTCCTTTTCTGAAACTCTGTACTTCAGAGGAGGCCGCCATGCATGGGCCACCACTTCCTTACCCACACAGCCAATGGTCACCACCCCATCTTTGTAGCGCTCCCGGGTCGGGCCAGCGGGCTCCATCGCTGAGTCAGTCTGCTGCTCCACCAGGACTGCAGGTCCATCCTCTTCTTCATCCTCCTCCCCAGAGCCATTTCCCCACGTGGCCCCTGCCACATCTCGGGCAATCTTCTCCCGCCAGCTGCTCAAGTCCACTGTCAGGGAAGGAGAAGCTGAGGAAGGTTCCCCCCAGGGCCACTACAGACGATTGCACAGACTATGCACGGCACAGCTGACCTAACTGGCACCCTCTGGAGTTGGAGAGTGCCAACCTACATGACAGATCGTCCCTAGCCTTCACTTGACCCCACCTAGAAATCATGTCAGTTTTTGAGTTTCAGAAAAATACTGGGAAGACTGAAGGCAACAGACCACTGGGCTCCTGCCTACCTGCTGCCTTTGTTGCCGCCAAGTCAGTTTGCTCCCTCTTCTATCCCTCCCCCTGGCTGCTCACCTACCTCCCTAATAGAAAGGACTAACTTCAGGGAAGGTAAGCAAAATGACTCCAGGCCCTGGGTCACCCCCATATCCTTCCATAGCTCCCCTCTTAAGAGGGTATACCTTTCCCTGCAGTGATGGCTTCACAGGCTCTCAACAACTGCTCTGGCCCCAGGGCCCGAGTCCATCCTCTCCCCCGCCTCCGACTCTTCTTCAACACTGGGATCAGAGGGCACAAGTGTTAGTGCATGGGCTTATGCACCCCACCTCACCCACCACCCTTAGGCCCAAGATCAGGTACTCCTTTGTCAACAAGGCTCTCTGTTCTCCCTGTTGTCCCCTGCCACCCCACCTCTCCCATGCTGCCTTCCTCATTGCCCACTCACCGCTACTAGGGTCCTGTGGGGTGCGGGGGTCCCGAGGGAAAGAGGTAAAAAGGACTATGTGGAGCTGGGGATAGTGTTGGTGAAAATAATGCTTCCAGGCAACCACGAGAGCCGGTGGGGCTAGATCCACCTTGTTCAGGACCAAGATCAAGGCCAACCCAAGTTCTCCAGTCACGTACTCGTACAGTGCTGGTGGGAAATTCACAACCTGGGACAGGGTTGGTGAGAGGAGAGAGCAATGAGAGGTCAACCCAGAGTTCTCTGCCTCCAGCTCCCCACTCACCAGGCACCACTCAGAGACAAGACTCTGGTGGTTAGCAGATTCCGGGGCAAAAGGGTAAATCAGCAAAACTGAACTAGAAAAATAAAGTAGCAGTAAGCAATACCTGTACATTTGTCTCGGGGGGACTTCTCACAGGTCCTGATTAGGGATAGAAATGAGCCAAAAACGAGACAAGGAAACAGTGATACCTAGTATACTGGCATAAAGGTTGGGGTCAGGATAAAACTTAATATGTGTTTTTGTGTGCACACAACTATCTACACGTATATACGTGCATGTACGCAAATGCACGTGTCTGCAGGTTTGTGATGAGCATGTGTGGCTGTGTGAGTGCATATGAGCACACACATACGTCTGTGTGTGTAAGAGTGTAGGTATACGTGCCGTTAAGGACTTCCAACCTAAATGTCCCCACAGACCTCTCTTTCTCCCACTAGAGGACAGCAATGGAGTGGTAGAGCCAGGTTAACACAAGGGTTGTCCAGCAGCCAAGTTTAGAGCCTTAACCACTATCCTAGCCTTCCATGTAAGGCTGATGTGGTGGGGCGGGGGAAGCCCTCAGTTGCCTTCACAGAATCCCCTGAAGCACCACACTAGAACTTTCTACTGCCCTAGTTATGGTGGAATGAAAACGGGATACACAGTTTTTCACCAAAGGAAGTAAAGAAGAGCATCTGTTAACCAGAGCAGGAGTGACAAGCTGTGACACTGATGAATAAAGGATTGAGTTCCTGACTGCAGACATCACTACGAGGTAGAGAAGACTAGAAAAGAAAGATACCTCTCCATCACCCAACTCCTGCCTCTGCCCTTTACCCCACAAGAATCTTCCTCCCCCATCCCCCTTGTCACCCTCACCCCCAGTACTCACTGGATGTCGGGTATCAGTGATAAGCAGGACAATGTCAGACATCTCCAACACACGCCACAGCTGCCTCCATGTCTGAAAAGACAAGATCAGTGGAAGAGTACCTAAGGCCAGAATTCCTCTCCTGACTGACCCCAGACCAATTTGACCAAGGGTCACTATGCCCGACTCCTGTCCCTACTCCATTCTCACCTCCAGATTATGCTCAAAGTAGCTGAGTTTCTCAGAGGTGTAAGACCCATGAATCTTCCCAAGATACTCCTGGAAGCTCCGTTCCTCCTGGCTCACTAGCTGCTCTTTGGACATCTCATAGCTCCAAGGAGGACGTCGGGGAAAGTCCAGGACTGGGAAGTTAAGAAAAAGTCCAAGTAAGTCTGAGAATAGTTTCAGGGCTCAAGAGTGGATCCCAGACCTCTCACCCCTCACAGTCAGCTCTTCCTCTTCCAACCTCCTTCCCCCAGCCCATTCCCTCTCCCAAACATTCAGCTGTTGAGCTCTCACCTGAGCCAGGCTGATAGACCTCCCGGATGTCCAGCTCCAGCAGCTCCGCACTGACCGGCTGTAGCACTTGCTCGCGGGCTGCCCTCTTTCTCCTTTCCACCTCCTCCCGGCTATCTCGCTCAAAATGCAGCCGGTATCTAATGGGACAGGGACCGCAGCATCCCTTGCAATCCCGTGGCCACAAACTCCCCTCCTGGGCAGACAACTTCGTAGAGCTTTCTCTCCAGAGTTGTTCAAGTCTCCTCTCAGTCGACTCTCCCTCAAGTGCCTCTCCCGCAACATTCGGCCTTCCCCTAAACCTCGCCCTTTTAAAAGCCAAGAACTCTCTCCAGCCCCTCCGGGAGGATTGTGGCCCGCTCCGGTGAGCCAGCTGCCTGCGGAGACTCGGCATACCAGTCCCACCTCCTCCACCAGCAGCAGCCAGCTTTTCCCCCCAACACTCTCGCTTCCGGGTAGGCGGGGATGCCCCAGCCAGCGCCCCCTGCCTGCTCTCACCGATTTGGGTCATAGCTTCGAGGACCCAGCCCCTGGGAAGGCTGCTGGTTGAGCCTGCGGATATGATGGGTCACAGATTCTCCGTCCGAGGTGTCGGTCTGCTCCTCCCGCCGCTCCCTGCTCCCGCTGCGGCTGTTGGAACTGGATCGCAGCCCATCTTGGAGCCCTGCGGGGAGGAGGCGGTGACGCCACTACGGGACGGCTCTAAGGGGCCGTAAGACCCCTTCCCCGGTCTGTGTGACTTCCCCTCACACCACCCCACTTCTTTTGAGGCCCGATCTTTCCACCATCCTGCCCAATACCCTACCGGATGTGCGTGGGGGGGAGTCATTCCTCCTCCAGGGACCTGCGGGGATGGCGCCCCGTTCGAGCTGGAGGGATTCCCCTCCCCCAATTCTCCATCCTTTCCCACCCCTTCCAGGGAGACTGGGGTGAGAGAGAATCCCGATCGTCGGCGCGCTGCCAACACCCACTCCCACGCCCCGCAGGGATGCGGCGGGCACACCCCTCCTTCCAGAGGTGCGGGAGCCCGAGCCCCGCCCCCTCCCCTCACTACCGCACTGACCTCGCTTCCGCTCCCGCTTGTCCTGCAACTGCTTCTTCTTTTGCTTCACGCTGAAGGGCTTCTTTCTCGGCATGGCCTGGACCAGTCACCTGGCCCACCCTCCGCCGAGCTCCCGCCGCCTCAACTGACTCCCCCCCCACCCCCCCGGGCAACCCCCGCCGCCAGGGCCTGGGACCCTAGAGGGGGCGGGGCTATGAGGTGACGTCAGCGGGCGGGCCTGGCCGATTTGCCCCCCGTTGCCTGGGTGAAGGCGAAGGAAATACGGCCACTTCCTTCTGCGAGCGAGGCAAGACGAGGATGCGGGGTGGGCTACCCGCACGTGAGAGTCAGTGGCACCGAGAGGGCGCAGCGGCGGCGAGGAAGGAGGCGCGCGTGGGAGGATCAAGCTAACTTCGTCACGGACGCTACCAACTCGCGTTCGGAGGAGGGGGGACGTGTGTCACCGCTACCTTGCGCGCTGGGAGGGAAGCTACCACTCACCTGGAGGGGGCGGTGGAGCGGAGGGCGGGTCCTACCACCTGGGAGAAAGAGGAGCGTGGATGCGCTGAACCTACTCTACCCACCCCCACCCCGGGCTTGACCTTAATGGAAAGACGGGACTGCGCGTCCCGGGAATGAAATCCAGTTGCTCGTCTACGCTGGGGGCGGGGTCAGACGTCTCGAGGGGCGGGTAGCGGTCTGAAGAGTCCTGGGACCCAAATTCCTTGTGGGAGCGATAAGGAGCAGATTTACAGATCATAAGAGCACGCGCAGGCGAGGAAGGAAACCCAGGCGGGACAAGGATTTTTGGAGAGAGGTCAGAGGGCATGAAGTTGTGCCTGCAGCCGTTACTATAGTAACCGGGAACCGGATGTGGCGATCTTAAGGGGCGACAACTCTCTCAGGTCTTCTGGCCCAAGAGCCTATCGACTCTATGGCACACAATGAGGAGCCGGTTGTGGGGGTTTTTTTCAGCGAGGGGAGAAGAGCGGAATTTTTCAAGGCATTTATGGGAACGCAACAAAAAGAAGGCTTGAGACTGCCTCTATGCCTGGCAGAGACCGAGGGAGGCGTTTTATGAGAGAATGAGCCGCACAAAAGCTCCTCGGAGCCTTCCGGAAGTGAAATGGCGGGAGCCTCAGCCTCTCCATCCACCTCCCGGAAGCGGAAATAGAATCCCAGCGTGCCCCTTCCTCACTGCCCTCCAAATCCCGCTGCAGCCATTGCCGCAACCACGATGCCGAAACGAAAGAAGCAGAATCAGCAGCAGCCGCCGCCACCGCAGCAGCCCCCGCTGCCAGAGCGGGAAGAGATTGGAGACGAGGAGGATGGGAGTCCCATCGGTGAGGAGCCCGGGAGGGGTGTGCACATGCCTGTCAGCTGGTCGAGGCGAGGGGTTAAGGTCTGGAAAAGGTGCGGGGGAGGGGGCTCTAACGGAAGGAGGAAGGGCGCAAGCGCTGGGGCGGGGATAGGAGGCTGTCCGGTGTGGAACCCAGAGCGAGTTCTCTTCCTTGACCCCTCAACTTCGATCCGGCCTCTAACCTTTCTGAAGAAGGCAGGGGAGGAGAGGATAAAGAGCTCGTGTGCGCAGTCGCAGAACGGCAAGGGAGAGGGGGCCCTAGAGAGGTTGCAGATTGCGATGACTAGGATAACACTTTGTTACTAGACTTGCACAGGGAAGGTAGAAGTGCTGCCTTCTCTAAACTACTCTGGGGCGGGGGGGGTCGTTCTGATTGGCCAACAGTTAAAGAGAGGGATTGGATTACTTCTGGAATCACCTGGGATGTTTTGGGTAGCAACTATGTAAGGGAAAGAGAAAGATACCCTTCCCGCATTATCTTTTTTTTTTTTTTTTCAAACGAAACGCTTTTTTGAAGAAAGGGCAGGGAGATTTGCCTGAGAACTTGTTAACACTGCTGAGAATGTATCAGGCTTTACTGATTGAATTAAGAAATGTGTAGTAGAAAAACATAAGAGGATCATCGGTACGTTAGTCCATTCTGATGACTATACTTTCATATCTACTCTTAGGACCACCCAGCCTTCTGGGCCCTCCCCCCATGGCCAATGGAAAGCCTGGTGACCCCAAGTCAGGTGAGGATGAGGGGGCTCTGATTCTTTGATTAGGTCCTGGAGAAGGGAGCAACGGAAGGATAAAACCCAGGAGGACTTAGAACCAAAAGATCAGGGATTCTGTACAGAAATGAATGGAGAGATGTTGTATATTCACAGATTGGAAAGCTCAATGTTGTAAAAATGTCACTTATTCCCAAATTGATCTATAGATTCAATGCATTTCCAGTTACAGTCCCTATAACGGAAATAAGCATTCTCTGTTATTACATGGAAATGCAAAGGTTCAGGCTGAGACATTGCAAATACAATCTTGAAGTAGGAGGACTTACCCTGAATATCACTATTTAGAACTATAATAGTTATGGTGTGGTATTGGCACAACAACAGACCTAAAAGTCAATAGCCCGGTACAAAAAGTCCAGTAACAGGCCTGCACATACATAGACACCTCATTTATGATGAAGATGGAACTGAAATAGTGGTCATTTCAGTAAATGATGCTGGATTAATTGGATATTCTTGGGGGGGATGAATTCTGACCTCCTATTCATATTGTATGTAAACATCAACTCAGTGTACTGTAGATCTAAGTGTTAAAGGTAAAGAAAAATATTTTCATGGTCTTGGAGGAGATAGGAGTTCCTAAACAGACAAGAAACATTATAAAGATTGATAAACTGAACTACATTAAACTTTTATTAATCAAATGACACCATTAAGAAATTAATAGGAAGTCATAGAGTAGAAAATAGTTGCAATAAATAGAACCAATAAAGAGCTCGTATCTAGGATATACACAGGACTCTTTTAGACAACCTGTTAGAAAAATGGGCAAAGTATCAGAACTCTCTCAAAAACTGAGCTCTAAATGATCAAGAACATGTGAACAAGAACTCAGTATCTTTAGTTGTTAAATAATCGCAAGATGAAAACATAACACTTAAGACCCCTGTGCATGTTGGTGAGATTGTAAAATGGTGCGATTCTATGGAAAACACTACAGAGTTTCCTCAAAAAAAATTAGAAATAGAACTACCACGTGATCCAGCATTCCCACTTCTGGGTATATATCCAAAAGAATGGAAAGCAGGATCTTGAAGAGATATTTGCACACTCATGTTTGTAACAGCACTATTTACAATAGCCAAGAGCTGGAATCAACCCAGATGTTCATTGACAGATGAATAAACAAAATATATATTCATACAACGGAGTATTATACAGCCCCCAAAAGGAATGGAATCTTGTCACATGCTACAGCATGGACGGAAATTTCAAGCCATCTTGCTAAATGAAACAAGCCAATCAAAAAAAGACAAATGTATAATTCCACTTATGAGGTACTTAAAGTAGTCAGATTCATAGAAGCAAAGTAGAATGGTGGTTACTAGGAGCTGGGTGGAGGGGGAAAAGGGGAGTTGTTTAGTAGCTATAGAGTTGCAGTTTTGCAAGATGGAAAAGTTCTAAAGATCTGTTACACAACAATGAGAATTTACTTCACACTACTAAAACATGCATTTAAAAATAGTTAAGATGGCAAATCTTTGGCATCTGGCTGGCTCAGTCGGTAGAGCATGCCACTCTTGATCTCAGGGTTGTGAGGTCAAGCCCCACGTTGGGCATAAAGTTTGCTTTAAAAAAAAAACAAAACAGATTTTACGTTACATTACATGTACAAATTTAACATTACATGTTCCCCAATTTAAAAAAAAAAAAACCTCTCCAGAATGGCAAAAATGAAAAAAATTGACAATACTAAGTGTTGTCAAAGCTATGGAACAGTTGCCGGTGGGAGTGTAAATTGGTACAGCCACTTTAAAAAAGAAAGTTTGACTTCATTAAACTTTAGCATACATATACCCTAGGACCCAACAGTACCTCTGCTACGTTTATACTCAACAGAAATGCATACATATGTGTAACAAAGACATGTATAAAAATGTTCATAGCAGCATTTTTCGTTATAGCCCCAAACTGGAATCCACCCACATGTCCACCATCAGTAGAATGGATAAATAAGTTGTTGTGTGTGCATGCAATGGGATACTACACTGCAATGAAAATGAACGAACTCCTGCTACAGGCAACCTGGATGAATCTCACAAACACGATGTTGAGCGAAAGGAGCCAGACAGAAAAGAATGCAGACTGTATGATTCCATTTATGCGAAGTTCAAAAACAGGCAAAAACTAACCTATGGTGCTAGAAGTCAGGATAGTGGTTACCTTTGGGGAGGAGGGTGGAATAGTGGGGTAGGAGGGGCACAAAGGGGGGGAGGCATTGCGAGTGCTAAGAAGGCTCTGTCCTTTCACCTGCGTGGTAAAAACACAGGTGTGTTTACTTTGACGGTAATTGAATTGTACACTTAAAACTGGTGCATTTTTCTGTATGTATATTGTACTTCAATAAAAAGTAAAAAAACAACACAGGGCTTCCTTATCCAGATTAAGCTGGCCACTGATCACCTTTCCATGTCTGTCTGTCTCTCTCCGTCTCTCCAGCTCTTCACAGAGGTCCTCCAGGATCAAGGGGACCCATGATTCCACCACTGCTGAGTCTCCCACCTCCTCCCCGGGGCAGAGGCCCAATTCGGGGAGGCCTAGGCCCCAGGTGTGGCCCATATGGTCGTGGTTGGTGGGGGGCCAATACTGAACCTCCTTTTCCTGGACCAGGCCATGGGGGTCCTTCCAGGGGAGGCTTTCACAAAGAGCAGAGAAATCCTCGAAGGCTCAAAAGTTGGTCTCTTATCAAAAATACCTGCCCACCCAAGGATGGCCCCCAAGCTGTGGAAGGTGAGGTCCATTTTTTAATGCCTATACACATTTAAAACCCATCACTCCCAGAATGCCTGTGACTCTACCATTCTAAAATGTCTGGAAATGGTAGGGAGTAGAAAATCTGACTGCCCTCTCTATCTCTGCTTTTTGTTACGTGTTTCCTTTCTTATATTTTAAATATACCAATTTTCACTTGTTTACAGACAAATCCAACCGCCCTGTCTGCCGACACTTTGCCAAAAAGGGCCACTGTCGATATGAGGACCTCTGTGCCTTCTACCACCCAGGCGTCAATGGACCGCCTCTGTGAGACTGTGCCTTCCCATCGAGGCTGGAAGGAGCCCTCTGACCTAGCGGCCATATGTTTCCCTGTGGCCCTGTGATGGCTACTGTGAGGCTGTTCCACCCACCACCCTCAGTCAGTGACACCCACCCCCATCCGCCACCTCCCCAATTTGGGGTCCAGAGCTGTGTTTCATCATTGATACCCAGTGTGTGGGCTTTCTTCTGATCCAGCCTCCAGAGACTCGCCTTCAGGACCCCATCTTTGCTCCCTTCAACTGCCTCCTGGATCCTCTTCCCCCTCGCCAACTGACTGCTGAACAGGAAACCTCTTTGGTGCTGTTTCTTGTGCATCTGTCCACCCAGCCCCCGGTACTGCCCTCGATTCCTGAGAGCCCTGGAGCAGTTTCCTACCATTCCCTTCTTCTAGCTGCTTGTTTTAAGTCCTTTTTATGTGACAGCCCCTACCCCCAAAGTTGCCAGTTGCTCTGTGAAACTCACCAGGTTGACCTGGGGTCAAGTATGGATGACTGGTGCAGAGTTACTCCCTGAAAGGCCACTCTCCCTGCTTTTGGATTTTGTAGTTTCTACGTCAGTAGCATGATCCCCACCGCTCTGGTCTGTGATCACTGTGCTTTGTGAAACTGTGCATCCCCTCGTACGTAGCCTTTCTCAGTGTCCGTGGCATCTTTGTGACTTCCCAACACTAGAATAAGTTTTTCTGCCAAAATGAGTGAGGCTCTTGGTGCCCTCTAGACTTTCCACACCTCCCAACATGGGAGAATTGTGAAACTTTCCACAAGACTGCCTCCCTGGTCTCCCATTCTCCTGGTGTCGGTTTTTCTGGGTTTGACACAAGCCCATGAGATGTCTCTGAAGCTTCTGACGGGCTACCCTATTTGCTCTCCAGCCCACTTTAGTTAGAGTACGTCATTGTGAGGCCACCAGCCCTTTCGTCTGAATTCTGTGAATCTCCACCCGGCCTACCTTTGGGTGGAACCTGGACAGTACTGTCGCCCTCATCTAAGCTTCTTCCCTACATCCCTGGCACTGGTTGTTTTCTGTGAAAACGGCAGTGAACAGGTTCGGTTTTGAACTGGCCCTGAGGAAATGGGTCAGGAGTTGTGTGGGCAAGATGGAAGGATGAGAGCCGTTGGAGAACTGAGAATGAATTTTTTTTTTCTTTTTAACATTTTTTTATATTAGTAATAAATGCAGTGGAAACAAGCATTTTCCTCAATCCCTGTGTTCCAGTCATCTCTGGAGGTGCAGATAAGGCTGTTCTTGTTGTAGTCACTTTATTCTTCCATTTGTTCCTACACAGTGGTGATGGAGAAGGGAAAAGCTTGAGTTTCTTTCAGTCTGAAGGAACAAGCGAGGTCCCATTAACCTATTAAGCATAAAACACACCAGGCTGCATGACGTTCAAGGGTGAGGTTTTAGAGGAGAAAGGAAAGGCCAACTATCCATGGAGTAATTTTTTAATATTCTACCCATCTTTGTAGGTTTGATGTTTTTAGAGTTGTAATGGCTAAAATGGCCTTTCAACAAATATTTGTAGATTTGACTGTGGGCCTGACAATATATTAGACACTAGAAATAACAGAACTAAAACCAATGAATTTAAATCTACAGGGGAGATACGTTTATCCAAAAATCACGAATATGTGTAAGGTCACACCTGTCAAAAGTGAGACATAATGAAAAGGGAGTCTGTAATAAAGGGAGACTAGGAAGGTGACATCTGAGACAAGCTCTGACAGAGAAGCAGAAGGCCTGAGGTGGAAGAGCAAAGTCCAAGCAAAGGTGTTTGCTAAGAGATGGGAAGAATAGGAGACAAGGCAGAAGGAAGAAGAGCGAAACCACTCAGGGCCTTGCAGAACATAAAGATTTGGGTCTTTTTCTTAATACCAAAGACTTTGAAGGATCTTAGGTTGATATGGATTAGATTCGTTTTTTTCAACAAGATTGACTCAAGGTATGGAGCTGACCAGGTTTGGAAGTGCCTTCAAAGGTAACTTAAGTAGTCCAGGTGAGTTATGAGGGTATAGACTGGGTAGTGGAACAGGAGAAAAGTAGGTATTTGAAAAGAGATCAAAATGAAAGTCTTTTAGGTTTATCAGGGTAGTTCTGGCTTGCATAACTACCATTTAAAAAGAAAAGAGGGAGAAAACAGAGAATGCTAGGAATTTGTTTGGAATTACTGAGTTTGAGCTGCCTTTTAAGATCTCCGGTAGGAGAGAGAAAATAGGTGGGTATACAGGTTTGGTATTCATATTAAAACTAGGGACAGAAATGTCTTCTGCATATCTGAGTGTTTTACAATATAGGTGGTAGTTAAACCATGAGCATGGAAACACTAAATATTAAGTACCTACTGTGACCCAGTTTATCAGCTTTTAAGTTCAGTTGTAACAGAAACCAAAGGTAGTCTTAAAGCAAAATATAAGTGTATTTTGTACAGTTCAAGAGGTAGACAGCCCAAGGTATCAGGCCACCACCTCAGGTATTCAGAACCCCTCCCCCCAGGTTTCAGCTCCACAATTACTGGGGTCAGATCCTCCCATTCATGGTTTGGGAAGTAAAGATAGCTTATCCATGTTCCAATTCTCAATATGGACCAGGAAGGGCAGAGGACACCAGCTGTCTTGGAGGAGATTTCCTCAAAGCTAATACAGCTCTCCAATTTTATGCCACTGATCGTAATAACTAGTCCTCGTAGCTGCCACTGAAGCTTGGATAAGTGATCTTTATTAAAGCAGCTATGTGCTAAGCAAAATACTGGACTTTCAGGATGAACATCCTTTATCAGCCCCTCTGCTAAAATTTCAGGATGCAGTAGAGAATAAGACTAAAAGTGTCAATGCCCTCCAGCCAAAGACCACCAGGAACACACCCATAGTCAAGCAACTGGGTATATTAATTCTGCAAAGGTTATCTCACTAGAAGAGGTTAGGAATGACAGGACTAGGGTTTGTGCTAGGTGATTTGGGGGGAAGGTTCAGGGAAGCGAAATTGTTCTGGGTTGGGTGCTATCAGGAAGTGAGGGCAATTACAATTGCACATCTTAATCTCACATAGAAGGAGAGAGGAATGAAACATGGCTAAAAGTGTAGCTGGTCAAAAAAAGCCACCATTTTAGTGGAGAGGGGGCTGTTTAATATTTATGGTGTTTGCAGAGTGACCTTATCTTTGTGCTTAGAGAAGATTATGAACTTTGTCTTACTTCATGACAGTCACAGTAGCCTTGTCTGACATTGGTGTTCTGTGAGATTATGTTCAACCTGAGCACCATGGCCAAGCTGTTAAAATCAGGCCAATTCCCAGTTGTCAGGGACTGTTTTTCTCAAAAGTGAACACATGAATAATTACAGGTTGTGATTAATGATATTAAGGAAATAAATGAGGTACTGTATAGAGAATAATGGTTGGGGGCTACTTAAGATGTGGTGGTTGGGTAGAACTCTCTGAGGAATCTGTTGCTAAAGTCACCTGAGAGGAGAATGTCAAGTGGGAAGAGAGGGCCCAGGACAGCCTGGAGGACGGCTGACATTTGGTGGCCAAGCAAGAACGAGGATGAAACCAACAAGGAGAGGGAGGAGGGTTGGCCAGAGGGGGGTGGGGAGATATCTCAGTGTGTAGTGTCTTCTCTTTGCTTAATAAATATATTTTTTGAATAAATGAAGTAGACATGGCTTGCTGATGAGGGGGAATGAAGAAAGAGAATGACCTTTCAGTTTGGGCCCAAGTAACTAAATGAAAGGTGGTATGATTTTTTGATGGGAAACCTGGAAGGGACACAGGGTTAAGGAGTAAAAACAAGAGCTCGGTTTTATACATATTAATTTGAGATATTTATTAGAGATCTCAGGATGTCCAATAAGCAGTTGGATTTGTGAGCCTGGAGCTTACGGCAGAAGTTGGGGTCAAGAAGAGAAATTTGGGGGGCGCCTGGGTGGCTCAGTCGTTAAGCGTCTGCCTTCGGCTCGGGTCATGGTCCTGGGGTCCTGGGATCAAGCCCCACATCAGGCTCTCTGCTCGGCAGGAAGCCTGCTTCTCCCTCTCCCACTCCTGCTTGTGTTTTCTCTCTCTCTGTGTCTCTCTCTGTCAAATAGATAAAATCTTAAAAAACAGAAATTTGGGGATCTTCATCAGTTATGGATGGTATTTAAAGTCATGAGAGAGGGCGCCTCGGTGGCTCAGTCGTTAAGCATCTGCCTTTGGCTCAGGTCATGATCCTGGGGTCCTGGGATCGAGCCCCGCATCGGGCTCCCTGCTCCGCGGGAAGCCTGCTTCTCCCTCTCCCACTCCCCCTGCTTGTGTTCCCTCTCTCACTGTCTCTCTGTCAAATAAATAAAATCTTAAAAAAAAAAAAATAAAGTCATGAGACAGGAGTGGTAAGTCTAGAATAGAGAATGTCAAAGAATGTGCCTCAAAACATTTAGACTTAAGGAGAAGCCAGGAAAGGAGGGAAAGGCAGCAGCCACTGAAATGGAAGGGAAACCTACAGAGAGCAGGGTCCCTGAAAAAAAAAAAAAAAAACAAGGAAGTGGGAGTGGTCATGTATGTGTGTCAAATGCTGCTGGGAGAGTAAGATAAGGACAGAGAATTGGCCCCCCGTCTGTTGATCTTGGCAATAATGGACTCATAATGGTATAGAGACAAGAGCATGGTTATAATGGTTTAAGGAGAGAACGGGAGCTGAAAGAGCTATGGGAGCATCTTGCTCCCACGTCTATTAAGTGGTACAGTTAGAAGCAAACCCAAATCTTGACTGTGGTGGTGGTTTACTGGTTATATATATGTCAAAACTTTGATCCAAGTGTACATTTTGCAGTTTATTCCCTGACAATTTACTGTATGTGCAGTTTATTGTGTATCAATTATACCTCAGAAAACTGTTAGCCCCACCACCACCACCAAAAATGAACCCAAGCTTCACCACTCTGTTAGGCGACAGTTCATCGTTTACGACTCTACACTTTATGGCTTTGCAACATATCTCAACACCAGGCCTCTTCCTAAGTAGATGGACTGCGTCTTTCTGCTCCTACTACTTAAAAAACAAAAAGGAAAAAAGAATGCCTCTGCTCCTCCGCACTAGTCCGAAATTACTACGTTCAGTACTTAGTCATGCAGCGTCGTGGAGCCACCGGCTCAGGATTCCCCGACAGCCGTAAGTGCTTTGTTGATGTTGTGAGACTAGGCGGACACCGGCTCCGCCCCGTCGCCACAGGCACGCCCCCGAGATGACGGCGCGGCGCGCACGTGCACCGCCGAAGTACAGGGCTGGCAGTGGAGAGCCCGCCCCCTTCGGGACCCCACGCTGCCGGAAGCGGAAATAGCGCCCGGCGTCTCCAGAGTAGCTGTAACTGGCACCGCGATGCCGAAGGGACCCAAGCAGCAGGCGCCGGAACCCGAATGGATCGGGGACGGGGAGAGTACGAGCCCCACAGGTGAGGCTGATAGGCAGAGAACCAACGAGGGAGAAAAGGGGGGAAGAGAGTACGCGTGTTTTAGGAAGGGGTCACGGAGTGTGTGACAGACCGGGCCGTGAGGAAGGCCACTGCGCATGCGTGTAATGGGGCTGGACCGCGTATACCCAGGCCGGAGGGAGTTGAGTGGGAGCGAAAGAAAAAGTGCCGGGCTGTCGCGAACGAGTTGCAGTGGGACTGGGCAAGAGACGAGGAAAAGCATATGGTGCCTTGGGAGAGATGGGGAGAAATGAGAAAGTCCTCCTTCTCTTTTGGACATCTTCCCCACCATACTGTATTCCACATTCCACAGGAATCTGTAAGCAGCGCCTCGATACCCCTCCCACTGCGCGCTCATGCACGCACGCACACATACCGCGCCACCCACCTATACCCGCTCGGGAGCGAGAGGATGACTTCCTCTTGAGCTCTTGCATAATACACATCAGGCTCATCTGGAGCAAGAGTGTGGTGTAGCTAGCTACTGGGTGTTGGAATGAGAGTTAAGGTTTACTTAAAAGTAGTGAATGTTTGTTGAGCAGCTGCTTTTAATCACGATATATACTGTGCTTGGGGGGCGGGGAGAAAAAGATAGGAAGACTTGCTCCCAAATTTGAAGGCACTCCAAGGGGAGAGAAAATGGATACAAATAATTACTAGGTACACAGTGACTAATTTTACAAGCATTCATTGGGTGCCTCTTGTACACCTGGTACTGTATAGAGAACTGGGAAAGTAGAGATAAAAAATAAGACTTGCCCCAAAG